GGGCGGGGACGAGGCGGCTCCACCGAGGCCGCACCGCGCCGCGCCGCAGTCTCCGCTCCCTCCCTAAGGAAGCCCCGGGTCGGACGGGCGGTGGAGCCCCGGGGCTGGGGGCGGGGATCCAGGGACGACGCATGGCCCCAACCTCCTCCATTCCTCCCCGGTATCGAAATTCCCCTGTCAACCCTGCTACCTAAATTTGCCTTTGACCCCCTAGAACCACCCCACCCCCACGCCTCGGACACACCTTCGCGTATCCTGGAGTCCTCAGAACCCCCTCACTCCTGCGAATTCCCCTGATAGGTCCACAGAACTACCATTCTCTCCTGGATGCCCCCAAATTCTTCCACCGCCCTGAAATTACTGAGTCTTCATACCCCCTATTCTTGCACCATGCTCAAATCTAAAAAATTTGCCCAGGTCTCCCGGGTCTCTCTCATACATTTTTAGCCCCCAAAACCTCAAACTCCCCCCCCTAGTCCACACCAATCTCAGACCAGAGCCCCCTCCTCTGTCCCACCCGATGTAACCTCCCTCATTGGGCTGTCATGGTATATCCTGGTATCTTAAAGAGAAGTGAAGGGGACAGGAAAATGTGGAATACCCTCCCCCATCTTGCACCCTTTAGTTCTTGGTTTCACCCCCAGACTCCCTGTTGGTGGCTCAAGCCCCAGTATTTACCTAGCTGCCTGTCTTTAGGCTCTGTACACCTTCCTTAGCCTGGTGCCCCCTTCCAGATAGTAAACCAGATCAAGAGGGTGGAGGTCTTTTTACCTGGGAAGTTGTCCAAGGATGCAGAACACAAAGGGCCCTGGGAGATGACATTGTTTTATCAGAGCAGGAGCATGGGATTTCAAGAATCTCCAGGGTCCTAGGTTATCGACTTCTCCATCTAGGACTCACATTACTGAAATTTTGGTTGATTGTTAGCATTTATGTTAAATTTTAGGCCTTTCAGAGCTTGGAGAACAGAGTATCTATCAAGCTTCCAAACGTGAGATTGAAGGAGGTTGTCCGCGAAGAGGAAAATGTTGGTTTTAGTGATGTTCTACATATTTACTTCTAGAGGTTATTCCCCTTCAAAACTAAGACCTTGGGATGAGAGTTGGAGGTGGTGGTGGAGCGTGAATTAGGCAGACTCTCCCATACTTAGTAGCAACAAAAAAGACTAGAATAATGGTTTCCTGAATTTTAAGCTAGCACCCTTTCCAATACATCACAGTGTCTTTTTGAGAAAGCTCTCTGTAGAATTCAAGTTCTGTGCAAAGGTAAGGTGGCGATCTTAGTATTAGTTGTAACAGGATTCAGATGGGGGCTAGAGGTGACCTAAAATGTCCTGGGCTGCCTCAGACTTCAAACTCACTGATGCTAGGGGAGTCTCTCCTCAGTCTGGTCGTGGAATTTATGTTCTCTTTGCCCTTGATCTGACTTTCTTCATTGGTGTTTCTATATTACTAGGACCTGGAATATCCAGGTGGGATGGACTGACAGCAAGTCAATTTCATTAGCAGTCGGGGGTGAGGATGGAAGGTTTCCACTAACCTGTGGTCTCTGTCTTCTATGCTAGGTGAGCCCCAGGTGTGTCCCAGGGAGATCCAGGTGACTTCTCTGCAGACTGCTTGCCATGATGCCCCACCAAGAACGGGGGGAATAAAGTGGGGGTCCTTCCCCATGCCCCTCCCATGGTCAGCTCCCCGATGGCCTGGGTGAGGTGAGACCTGTGTATAGGAGCCACTTTTCTGGAGTTTCCCAATTTAGGAGGAATGGAAGGTACAGGTCAGGGTTGTTCAAGCTTTACACATTCAGTGGAAGTTTGAGAAGGACATCTAATCATACCGATTCATTTCTTGCAGCAAATTGCAACTCTGTCACTTCTGGTCTGGATTGGTTCCTGCGCTTGCTTGCTCCCTTAGGTCACTGTAGCCTAGTGGTATCCTCTCTGTCCTAGGCACAGGCCCGACTCTTCTGACATCTAACCCGAGTGCCATAATCTAGGAAGGAAAAGCCAGATATTAAAGCTTCTGGTCTCCCCTTTAGACAAAAGGGAGAAAACTCAGTGGGGTTATCTGTTTGTTTGTTTCTTTTTTTTTAATTTGTTTTTTTAATGGGGGAGGGTAATTTTAGGTTTGTTTATTTTTTAAAACAGAGTTACGGGGAATTGAACCCAGGACCTTACGCATGTTAGGCTTGCACTCTACCACTGAGCTATACCCTCCCCCAGCATTTTTTTTTTAATGGAAGAAATACCTTCTCAAGATGATAAAAATAGTGCTCTGTTTAAATGCTCAATCTTCTGAATGTATCTTTTGACCATAATGTAACATCTCATTTGAAGAGAACATCAAGAAGATAAATTTGAGGTGGATGTTGGAATGGTGGTGAGGAAGGAAAAGAGAGGATTTAGATGATGTGGGAAGAGTGAGGTGGAAAAGGAGGAGCGAGGAGAGAAGTCCAGGCCAAAGTGTCTGGGACGCCCAACTTCCAGTTTCTTTGCTGAATCTGGATGAGGGCCCTCAGCTGGCACCCAACTTCTGATGCAAATCACTTCTGCATCCCTACTTTTATCCTGGCTTTTCCTGCTGCTCAGGCTGCCCTTCCCTATCATTACCTCAGGCAGGATCCTACATACTTCAAGGTCCAGATAAAATGCCTCTGAAAAGCTCTCTCCATCTCCCTCCCATTCACCCCCCCCACTCCGGGTCAGCATTAATCCTTAACATGTCCTAACTTGAATTAATGTTTATCCCATGTGTGTCTGGCCCTGGATTGAGAGCGTGAATTCCTTAAAGGAGGGACTGTGAGTCTTAGAGTAGGTGATCACAGCGAGGTGGTTCTGCCCGAGTTCCCCAGAGCAGGGCTTTTTAGGCCTGACCTCGATGACCTTCTGTCCCTTGTGTTTTTCTCTAGGGTGGGCCAGCTGCTCTGACACCATGGGGAGCTGCTGCAGCTGCCTGAACAGAGACAGTGTCCCAGACAACCACCCTACCAAGTTCAAGGTACCCATAGTCACCTCCTCTGCTTTGTTCCCAGCATGGCCTCCTGGGCTCGGCCAGAGCTGCCGAGTTGTCTCCGCCTCCCTAGAGAAGGTGGAGTGACGGGCTGAGATTGTGGGCTCACTAAGACTTCTCAAGCTCAGGACCTCAGAGGAGGCCTGAGGAAAAGGGGCCCAGGCCACTGCCATTTTTGTGGATCCTGATGTTAACTCCAGTCTTGTTAAGTTCAGTCTTGACTGAAGACATGCTGTACTAGAGTAGCAAAAATTGTGCTTTTAGGATGTTCACTCCTGTCAGTGTGTCTTTGTAACTTTATAGCCTTTTTGGAGAAAACAAAAGTCTGTGTTTGTGAATTAATATATGTCAAGTATTTAAAACAGTGCTTAACACATGGCAAGCACTATATTAGTGTTTGCTGTTTGCTTTGGGAAGCTAAAGCCAAGCGGGATGGACCTGCGCACCCTCTCCCCCGGCCCTTCCACCTCCCTGTAGGGGGCGCCCCCTCCTCACCTGGCATCTTGAGGCCCAGGTTTCTCCTGCTCACCAGAAGAGGGAGCCCACAGCGTGGGCGTGCAATTGGTGGAGGCCTAGATATTTGTTCTGCCTTGGGCTAGACTTTCCCAGGTTTGGCCCAGAGAACTTGTTGTGGGTCAGCGGCACTGCTTCATCCATGTCCCAGTAACCTTGTGGCATTCCCAGGGGCTCACGGACCCAGACACGCACTTGTTGGACTCACTCATTGACCCTTCTGTCCCCTGCCCCGCCCCCCCAGGTGACGAATGTGGATGACGAGGGGGTGGAGCTGGGCTCCGGAGTGATGGAGCTGACACAGAGCGAGCTGGTGCTGCACTTGCACCGGCGCGAGGCTGTCCGCTGGCCTTACCTCTGCCTGCGGCGCTACGGCTATGACTCCAACCTCTTCTCTTTCGAGAGCGGCCGCCGGTGTCAGACAGGCCAGGGTACGTACCAGCTCCTGCCCCGTGCTGGGATAGGGACTTGTGCACCTGGGATAGGTACTGGGACTGGAAGTCTGTTCACGTGGCCGGTGTTGCCCAGAGAAGGGAAGGGTCATGGCCA